AATAATTCCATCCTCCACAGAAATGTGTACGTACCACCTGGTTCGTGGATCGTATGCACAGAGTTTTCTGTGAATGGACCAAAAGGAAGTGTGCGTATGCGTGAGCAGGCGCGCGCGTTTATTAAAGCAATAAAACTAAACTATGTCGTGAAATCTCCGTTAAACGAATAACACTAGCTATATCATGTGATCATTTAAACCGTGAGACAAGGACCTCTGGTGGTTTCGTTTTCTTGTTGATCGATCAGTCACCTATACAGAATGAGAAAAATTGGCTGTGAATGAAAGATCGGTGCGTAAGATATCTCACACCATCATCCTGCTTAGATTATTCCGATTTCTCGAACCAACCAAATTGTATGATTACCTAGCAGGCTAGTTACAAGCCAGCCCCTTTCACCAATATTACACTTTCCACCATTTGAGAAAAAAAATTTGGACGAGAGAATGGTGAGATCCCTAATATAAAACATTGCCACAATTCCGCTGGTCTGGATTCGATTGACAGGCAGCCGTGTTACCAAGTGGTTTGGTTCGTAGCTCCAAGCCGATTGTTTTCCGTACACACACACACACACACACCAAAAGACTTTCCCCATTTTTGGGAGCCCTATATTGTGAACTTCGGAATGGAGAAGGTAACTCACTCGATTTGAACAGGTAGAAACCAATATGTGCATAGACTAAGTAATTCAGAATGCAGGCGATAAGCTACACTGAAGCGGAATAAGATAACACCGACAGCAGTGGCGTTCTTGTTGTCATTTCTCATCAGGTCAGAATGCTTGAAAAGGTATATATGCACACTTAGATTGTGGACTCAGTGTGTTGACCATAGAGGTTCACTTTCTTTGCCATGCTGTGCTTTATCACTTGATTTGTGTACGTTGTGAGCTTGCCAGCGATCAGTGAAGCTCGCTTCACTGTATCCCGCTGTAAGATGATGATGATGAACAGGATATTTTGTTCTGAATGATTGAGTGCGTTGTGCAATCCAATATATACGCCTCCTCCAAGGTGAACCGCAAAGAAACTATGTTGCCACATTAATAACGGAACCGGAATTGCATATGCGCCCTGGTTTGACAATGCAAATCCTTCATTCTGAATGAACAAATGGTGCGGATGTGAGATCACACACATACATGATAAGTAGCGATTTGAAATGAACAGAAAGAAGAAGAAAAAAGATCGGCCCTTTCATTAGGGCTTTCCCCCCTGCTTGTCCAAATCATTTTTGCCAGCTCTTTCGTGAAGAGGTTCATCTATATTATTACGAAAGCACTTGACTCGGAATTAGGCGAAAGTAACACGACATTCGGCCAGTAAATAGATGGAAAGATAACGCGATCAAATGACTCGCATCGGGCTGGTTATAGGATGTAAGACACCGGTAACCGGTGTGTCTGTGTGTGCAGACAAAAAGTAGGACTGTAGTCGGATCCTACATGAGGAGGAATTTGAGAGTTTGTGCAGATCTATCTGATCCACTCAAAGCCGTGCAAATGAATATCTGTTAGGTTAAATTTGAATGATGATTAAACTTTCCAATCAAGTTGTTCAATGTACAATGGGGTGAAACAACAAAAAATGCTCAATATGCTTGTGGATGGCATGCAAACTCCATTTAGATCAGTGCATAGATGGCGAAAACCGGGACACAACGTGGAGCAGCATGGTTAAACGATAACAATTCGTAGGGTATGAGAGACGAGAGATCGATCGAAATCGATGTGGCATCATTGATTCATGAACGAGGGCCAATTGGATGACAATGCGTAATGTAATAACCTCATTCAGGGTCGCACGTTGAGTGACCGATCGCATGCCATTACACTCCGTGGTCATTTGAAGTGGGAAGCAGTATGGATTAAGCGTTGTGTGTGTGTGCGTGTGTTTCACTTAACAAGATGACATATGGAATATATGCACGAGCCTTTCGAAGAAATGAGGCAACTGTATTCGAGCATGAGCTGAGGCGATCCCCCTTGCAAAAAAACATAAGATACGCGGTCTTATTACACAGGTGCCGAGAACGAGGGGGGGGGGGGGGAGCGTTGAATAGTTGAGTCGCGATTATAGTTTCTGGGCTACCCGGTGCGCTTTTACTAGTTTAAAACAAATCTAGACCATACTACATGCGATGTGGTGATTTGGTTAGTAGGGAAATAAAACGGGAATGAACATAGCATTCAGTGCCTGGATCCGACCGGCCGCTGCAATTATGGGGAACAGAATGCGATTAAAGAAAACACAAGTGACTGGGACGCTCGAACTCTGTTGCTCACTTAAATGACTATTACAATAAAATGATACATCATGTATATAGGATGGTAGGGGGAGGATAGCAGCAGCAACGTTAATTGGAAGACTGTCGTGTTCCCGGGGAACATTCACTCCCTCAGTTCTCTTTTATCTTCACCGAATACCCAGCTCTTGCTTGTGACTCTGAGAATCTGCTCCACACAAGGACGTTGGTTTTATCCCAGTTTCAGGTTTCAC